AACAAAGAAATGTGGCATCACTCCAGGCTGGAATTTCGCCACCAGGTTCTCCATGACAAGGGTGCAGTACTTCTTGCCTACTGCCACCAGGACACCACTGGCAGCCGTCTGCCACTCTGGCACCACTTCCTGGAAATAGTCAGGTTCTTTGCTAGGGAATATCACAATTCATAGGGTGCATTCCCAATTTGACTATCTACAAAGTCAGGTTCTCTTCTGGAGAATGTTACTATTATTAGAAACATTCAATATTTCTTCCAAAAATGATAAATTTTTGAATGCAATTTACATATTAAATTATTTTTCAAGTGTGCGCTTGTTTGAGTGTCAATGCTCATGTGTGTATAAATATAAACATAAAATATAGACTAAAATTCCAGTGTACTCGAAAATCATTCTTATCCTAAAATGCATATATTTCAAGACACAATGCCCTCATTCTATCTTGAAAATATCACCTTTGATTCTGTGAGTTCTTCAGATGCCTGAGCTATCAAATCAGCTGCCAGAGACTCCTTCAGTTCATCCAGTGTCTCTTTCAGTATCTTCTCTATGGCATTTAGGATCACAACCCTGTGGCCGTGGTTAAGCTGGAAACAGAAGGGAACACTGATATTAATATTAAAGATGCATGGTAGAATGGGTCTTCAATCATAATTAATTAGTGGAGGTTGTGGAAAATACATATAAAAATAACAAGACACCAAACAGCAAAAACATGGCAACAATATTTACAGATATATTAATTATTATTATTATTATCATTATTATTATTATTATTATAGAAGCAATACACAGTATTCACTACAACTCATTCTGAAAAGAAAACACTGTTCACTAAACAGCAGAAACACAGCAACAATATTTACAACACACTCACACGGGTAGTAAAAAAAATTGTAAAAAAAAATAAATAAATAAATGGCTTTATGAACATACCTTGGAATGCTTCTTGAGATAAGTATAACAAGAACTAAGGACCAGGGCTGGCTGTTTTCTCCCCAACTCAAGGAGGGCTGATCCTATCATCTCTTGTGTGTCTTCATTTTTATCATAGGCCGAGTCTATCATTGCCATCACCATCTCTAGAATAAGTTTGGTAATCATTTGAGATAATATATGTTTTAATTTTTAAATTTTATTTCTAGACTAACAACTTGATTTTAACATGTTAAGGTTAAAACAGATTCACAAGAAAATGTACATACATACTGCCATATAACTGAAATATTTGTATCAACATTTCATGATTAATACAAACTGAAAAGGTATCCGTCCGTAGGGCTCGTAAGATTTATTCAATGATTTATTGATATCTAACAAACATATATATTTTAAAAGTGTTTATAAAGTAAGATCAATACAAAAAAAATGTTTACAGAAAATATTTGAATAATACTCCAAGTCCTTGAGGTACCCCTCCCAAAAAGAATCAAGCAGATTACTAATGATGTCTGAAATTTGGTACTTGTAAAGGCATGCTATTTCATTCACTTGCAAAACAAGTTCAAAATTTAAAAAAAAAAATGTACTTTAGTTTAAACTATCGACCTACAATATATGTCCTAAATTCAACTGATATATTTCTATTATTTACTCAATTATTCAAGACTTACTTAATTTGTACTATGAGCCAGTTTTAAAAATGAGTTTATGGTCTGAGTTTATGGTGGTGAAGACAATCATTCCCTGATACTATTGTCTTCAGGTGCACACTTGAGTACTGATTACATATATTAACAAGTAACTTAAATCACATGACTCATGTCCTCTCCTCCCCCCTCCAATTCTTCTCGATTACAGAGGCCATGTACATCTAACTTCATTATGTAATACTGTCATTCATTCACAAATCATAATAGATGATTATGTCCTTCACAAAATGTTACAAATTCTTTTAAAAATATATATATCATCAGAAGTCACACAACTTGTGCCTTTTACAGTGTGTTGACAAATTCTTTAATTGTACACTGTCAAGGGTTTTTTTTCATGGTGACATCTATTTTCTTATTCATTTTTCTTTTATTTATTCCTCACCAGCTTTTGCTATTACTTGTGATTGAAACCAGCTTTATATTAGTTTTTATTAAAAAACAAGTGAAAGATGAAAATAATCTAGTGGTTTCTGTACTATTGTTTAATTATTATACTAGTACAGTGCCAATGTTGTATACAAGGCAATAATTTGACATGAATAAATTGTAGCTAAGCCAAGTGGCTTCTGTGCCGACACTTACAACAGTCATAATCTTGCTATTAAAAATAAATCTCTACAACCTTCTTTTGTCAGACTCACTCATTTGTATGGTTCCTGGCTGTAGTGTAAGACCAGCCCCTGCTAGTTCTACTAGTTCATATCTACTTCCTTAGATGATATTCAATATTGTGATTTTATAAAATAAAAATTCTACTCCTCTTCACGAAAAAGCTGTGAAAAACAAACACTCCCCTCCTCAAACGGATTATCTTAAAGACATGCACAGTAAAGTTTGTTGTCCCCTGCATCACAAATACTTTTAGTGCGGTCAGGAGAAGGTACCGGTCATGAGATGCAGCTGCGGTATGGGCACTGGCCGTTCTTTCAGCTCAAGTCTTTGGAATGGAGAGAAGGCATTAAAAATACATGTATTCATTCCAAGCTTACCGTCCACCTGCCCTCCAGTCGCCCGTACTCCACCCTCGCTGTGGCCAGGCATGATCATCAACAATAATAATCCCTCTGTGTGTTTTCTTCCGGGAGTGTCAGCACAAATTAGAGCATAGCAATGAAGTCGGAAGAAATCATGTGACGACCTCCATGTTGGCGATAAGTAGGTCAACTCCGCGGTGAATCAGTGGTCTCAATTTTGATTGGGCAAAAGTTTTAATGTTTCTAACGACGTACGGTAGAAATCTTAGAGATAAACCTCTTTCGCCTTGTTATAACATCCGAGAGCCCGGGCGGACATCAGGCTGCCCTATTTGGATAAATACTGTAAAACCTGGAAGCTGATAGTAAACGTCCAAAAAAATAAATAAATAAATAAATAAATAAATAAATAAACGAAAGTAATGATTTTCCACAAACCTGGCCACATATTAAATAATCCAAGGGACCATTCCCAAACCCTACCGTACTAGCTAACTGTGGATAGATCTATCTCCGGCCGAGGGGATTCTCGCTAAATTGCAATCAACTTAGATGTCTGTCACGCCTACTGAAGCTGCTAGGGGGTAATTAATTATCGTTTAGCAGCTTCAGTAGGTGTGCCAGACATCTTTAGAAGCCGCTTAATTATAAGCAGAAAGCAATCGCACCTGTAATTACACATTTGAATATTTTTCCCTCTTCTAAGGGTCTCCCTTAAACTTAAATAGGCCTACGCCTGTTGTAAACCGCCTTTGATCCTGATGTACTCTTTAATATCATATGTAAAGCCAAAATTATTCTAGCATCTGAAGTCATCTTACTCAGAACTTTCCGAGCAGGCCCATCAACGAAAGCGGCACGACCGAACTTGAATTGATTCAGTAGCTTTTCCGGTATAACAGCACGTCATACCACCTGTTAACCGTGTTCAGCAGAAAAACGATATCTTCTAGGCGGAATTATTTGCCAATTCTTCTTTACTCAAATATTTCCATCGCTGCAATTGCTTAAATGGAAATCGCACCAGTAATTACACATTTGAATGTTTTTTTTTTTTTCATAGATAAACATTTTCGGCCTAGATATTCAGCTGATAAGCAAACTAAGTTGTATATTTGCATCATGATTGCAAGTGTCTGGAAAATCTGTACTTAGCACAGACCTCCATGTATTTTCAGAAATAAATATCACAGCTTTCAAAGTAAAAGATTTTTTTAACAGCCAAAATCAAACCAATAATGAAACTCGCTTTACATTTTACTATTGAGCATTCATTTTCATGTGTATTCAACTCAATAAATAATCTGGGGGAAAACGCGTCTGCAATTTAGTGAGAAACCCCTTGCTTCTTTTAGAACGTACCCATTCCAAGCATTTCTCAAGGAACTGAACAGATAGAAATCTGCCCAGAATATTGCTACCTTGGTTTTGTGTTCACACTATCAGGACACTTGAATAAAGCAATGGAAACCCTGAAAGTTAAAGCACAGAAAGAGTTAGTTTTTCAAAATCCACCACCAGCTGTTTTCCAGTCCAGTTAAAATCGCCAGTAAACTTTTCTCCCCATGCGTAGCTACGCCTGCAGATTATGGGCCCCTTTAAGCCTAGGTCCCAACTACATTTTGAACGCACGGTTTTTAGGTTCCTCGCGTCCAGGACGTAGCTAGATCGCAGGGAAGGAATCAAGTAATTGGTGAAAAGTTTCTACGTGCTGTTTGCGTACTCCGAAAGTCGCACGATGGACGTGCTCCTCACGCACGAACTCCCACGTTTTTCCCATTTTTCTGGCCGTAGCCCACACGTAGCAGCCCGTATGTTCGGTTGGGATCTAGGCTTTAGTCCCTTAGCCAAGTATGACGAATAAGCCTCTGGAAGTATGTGACAGACCACCTGCTGAAGATGTCCACAAAAAAGCCTGTAAAACATTCCTGGGGGTCCAAAGAAATGTGCCTAATCTAGCTGCTAGAAGTGAGCTGGGGAGCTATACCCAGTGTTGATATGTATGCTTGCCCTGGTGTACGTCAAAATACTGGTTCCATCTAAACAGACTTAATTGCCTGTGCAAAGAATCCCTGGCCGCCCAGCTTAGCCCTTGAAGCTGACAGGTTTGAAAGTAAAGGTGGTGCCTGGTTCTTTGGCATTAAACAAATAGGCAACTCAGTGGTGAAGTTGAGTGTTGGGATAGACCAAGGAGTTACAACTCTTTGGTTAAATTAAGAATCATGTTTTGGGTGTCGCATTTAGCCATAGGGAATCAAGATTGTCCAACTGTTCTTATATATTGCATAATACTGCACTGTATTTATATATACTTCACAAAATTGTAAATCCACCTAACTTTAGTTGCAAATAAAATTATTATTATTGATTATGAACCAACTGTTTTTATTTCTGAAACCTCCACAGATACATCCTCTAACATGTTTTCAAAAACATGTATATCTACAAAATTTAATGTACATGTCTCCGAAAAGTTAAAGCATACAGTCAATGTCTATACTGTATTAATTATTTATCTGAAAGACATGAAACGAGGCTCTTGGAAGAAAATAAATGTAACAGTAATTGAAATGATGATGATCTACTGGAGATGACATGAAGTTCAAATTGGATTCATTCTATTTTTTTTTTTTATTTGAGTTGACAAATTAGATGCCAATTCTACTCAGATTCACTCATAGATACTGGTAGGCACAATTACAATTAGTACAGAGTTCCCCAAAACTATGGTGTCTCTCTTTTGTTTTTTCATTACCATAAATAAAAACTTAACCTGACACAAACAGTAACATGGCCTTTTTAAGCTTCAGGAGTCCTTCAGTTCCCGTCTGCCATTGCATTGGAGAACTATAAGCATTATGGTCGTTTGAACATCATATATCTCTATGTTGTAAATGATTGTCAGTACAGCCAATGCAATTGTGCATCCACTGTTACACACAGTATGCACCATTTAATGCAAGTCATTCTCTTATTTCACATGTTTCTTCTCAAAAAAGTTAGCACCTTCCAAGCCCTCTGGTAGGTAAGTTTGACGGCTACTATCCTGGTTGTGGCTGTACAGGTATCCTTTGCCATATCCTGCAATATCAAAAAACATGTATACAGTTTTATAAAAATCGAGGTGTTTCTAGTTCACATTTCATAAAACTGGTACAAATCATAATTGACGGATTAAGGACTATATAATATTAAAGAAAGGGACATATTTCTAGGCAAAACTACCCTGGGTTTCAGAGATTTCTGGTAACTAACTGGTAACAGTGATGGAAAAGGCAAAAGATTGCTCATGAGAGAAACCAGTTTTGCTAAATCTCTGAAATTAGGGATGAAGTAACTGTAAGCTGAAGGTAGAAAATGGGGGTAATTTTGAATAAAAAAGAGCTAAAAATTGTGCTTATGAAAACACTTTTTGATCAAACTTATAGTGTACATGCCCAGGTAATTACTGTAAGTGTTTATCCTAAGATGTATCAAAAAAATATATTTTACAACTGCAATTTGTCAATCAGCTAAAACATGTTCTAGTACATGTAGGCAGAAATGATAAACAATCATATATGTACATTGTATAGACCTGTCAAATCAATTCAAAAATGAGAAACAAACTGAAATCATGAGTAGCCAATAAATTCACCAATGACATCTTTTATTATTTCCATGGTAGCAGGCAGTCACTAAAAACAAAAACCAAAACACGTCCAAAGAAAAACATTACCTAAATCTTTCATCAATTTTGTAGAAGCATTCCTCAGATGCAGCGGCACACCTGGTAATGGCCCCTGATGGTTTTGTATGGATTGTTTAGCTTTGGCGTAAGCGGCATATGCCTCGTTTGACTTGGGAGCTTTGGCCAGGTATACAGTACAGTGGCAGAGGTTGATCTGAAGGGAGATGAAGAATAAATCTCATTGAGCAGATGGACAATTGAATACACCCCTTAACTTTAAGGCACACAATAAGTGTTAGACTTAAATGTACATTAGGATGAATCAGGGTCAAAAGGCATTTAGAGTAACTTTAAATGAATTAACTGATATACAGTATACTACAACAATCTAAATGATGACAAGATACATATATGTAACTGAAACCTTTTTCAGAGCAAATGAAACTAAATCTTTTTCAAAGGGAAAGATACAAATGTAGTTTTGGGACACATGGCAGTATCATGCTTTATATATGTGTATTAATATGTTACCTCACATTCAGGTCTTCCAATGAAATGGCAAGCTTGGTATGTTGCAACTGCAAGTGGCAGTGCCTGTGGATCTGCAAGACCTGCAGTACAAATAACATGAGTATTACACTTTACCTACCCTATTCCTACCCTATTCAAAAATTGAAAGAAAAAACTGAAGGCTACATGCATCAGTAAATGAAGCAAACAAAAAGCAGGTTTTTTTCTGATAAATTAAGTCAACTAAAATCAGGAGACGTAAAAAAAAAACTATACACTCTCAAACTTTCTCACAAAATAGTTACCGATGTCTTCGCTGGCACACACTACCAGCCTCCTTGCAATAAAGAGTGGATCCTCCCCTCCCAGCGTCATTCTTGCCAGCCAGTAGAGAGCACCATTTGGGTCTGAGCCTCTTATTGATTTCTGTAGGGCAGAGGCACAATGATAGTGTTCATCACCTGAAAATTTTCCATATTCAAAATATCAACTGGAGCAGTACGTTTATGAGTTGCCTAAACCATATGATATGGGAAATTTATTTTAATTTTATCAATAGTTAAACCTTTGGAAAACAGAATGCACAACTTGGACACCAGTGAGACTAAACTGCAAGTAAAATAAATTATTCTGAAGATTTTAAACAAAGTTCTTTTGAACATTGTACTGTACGTTACATTAAATTTCAGATACTGTTACTTGTTCCCTTGTAACTTGATTTATTGTTTTTTCTCTTAGAAATGTTGTTAAACAAATTTTTTGCTTTGGAATTAATGAAACCATGCAAACACTGAACAACTGGAATCTTTGCAAAGCTATGGTTAGAATGAATTTTCTGGTACCACCATGTCATATTGTGAAATTTATTGTATAAACCTAAAACAATTTTATCTGAAGTCACAATTACATTACAGGTATCTGTACAAGGATAAAGTGCATTAGGCAGACAAGAAAGCTCATAATGTGAAGTCACAATATGAAAATCAAATATGAGGTTTATGTATATTAAACATAATGTATATTACCTGCTCTGTCATAATTAATATGCGACCTTTGCAATCCTTCCTTTACGTGCTCCACATCCACAACTACATATTCCTCTCCCATATCTGGCGTTTTCTCACCTGCCATTTCATTCTCTCCTGCCACATCTGATTTTCTCTTTTTTTGAGAGACAGCCGTTTTCTCAGCAAGCATTTGCCTGGAAATATTATTTTAAAAATATGTCCAGTCTATACAATGTATCTATCCCAGCAGAATTTATAAAAAAAATCTCTGAATTATGTGATGAACACATGAACATACAGTATATGTAAGCCAGAAAAAAAAATCTTATTTATTTTTCTTGTGTTAGATTTTGTAATGATGATGATTTGACATGACAGGTGTGTCAATCCTACACACCCCCAGGCAATGGCAGAGTAATTAATTAGAATTACTTAAAATATCAGATATCTAAACTATGGATACCTAATAAAACCAGTGAGCTTTTGAGTATGCAATAATATTTCTAAATATCACTTCTTCGACCAATACAGCGTATTGAAATTAATCAAAAATGTTCTGTTCAAATTTTATTAGTAACATATGCAATATCCGCTGACCTGGATTCTTTCCCATAATTGCCATGCCTTGCTGCCTTGTAAAAGGCCAGTCTTGATTCGATAGCATTCTGAAGAGTGTTCAGTGATGAACGCGCATCTCCATCACAGAGGTTTGCTAGGTACTTTACAGCATCTTTGGTAATAAATTTTCTAGGTCTGAGGAAAAAGTAATTCATTAAGTATACAAGAAGGTTTTAAAGATACAGTGTAATACTAGAATTACAATGTAGTCTAGACAAGNTCTGGCAAAATCTGGCCCAGATATTGCCAGACGTTGCCAGATCTGGGCCAGACGTGGGCCAGATTACTGAGGCTGTCTGGGTATGTTCGGTTGGGACCTAGGCTTTAGTCCCCTAGCCGAGTATGACGAATAAGCTTCTGGAAGTATGTGACAGACCACCTGCTGAAGATGTCCACAAAAATCCTGTAAAACATTCCTGGGGGTCCAAAGAAATGTGCCTAATCTAGCTGCTAGAAGTGAGCTGGAGAGCTATACCCAGTGTTGATACGTATGCTTGCCCTGGTGTACGTCAAAATACTGGTTCCATCTAAACAGACTTAATTGCCTGTGCAAAGAATCCCTGGCCGCCCAGCTTAGCCCTTGAAGCTGACAGGTTTGAAAGTAAAGGTGGTGCCTGGTTCTTTGGCATTAAACAAATAGGCAACTCAGTGGTGAAGTTGAGTGTTGGGATAGACCAAGGAGTTACAAATCTTTGGTTAAATTAAGAATCATGTTTTGGGTGTCGCATTTAGCCATAGGGAATCAAGATTGTCCAACTGTTCTTATATATTGCATAATACTGCACTGTATTTATATATACTTCACAAAATTGTATATCCACCTAACTTTAGTTGCAAATAAAATTATTATTATTGATTATGAACCGTTTTTATTTCTGAAACCTCCACAGATACATCCTCTAACACGTTTTCAAAAACATGTATATCTACAAAATTTAATGTACATGTCTCCGAAAAGTTAAAGCATACAGTCAATGTCTGTACTGTATTTATTATTTATTTGAAAGACATGAAACGAGGCTCTTGGAAGAAAAAAAATGTAACAGTAATTGAAATGATGATGATGATCCACTGGAGATGACATGAAGTTCAAATTGGATTCATTCTATTTTTTTTTATTTGAGTTGACAAATTAGATGCCAATTCTACTCAGATTCACTCATAGATACTGGTTGGCACAATTACAATTAGTACAGAGTTCCCCAAAACTATGGTGTCTCTCTTTTGTTTTTTTCATTACCATAAATAAAAACTTAACCTGACACAAACAGTAACATGGCCTTTTTAAGCTTCAGGAGTCCTTCAGTTCCCGTCTGCCATTGCATTGGAGAACTATAAGCATTATGGTCGGTTGAACATCATATATCTCTATGTTGTAAATGATTGTCAGTACAGCCAATGCAATTGTGCATCCACTGTTACACACAGTATGCACCATTTATTGCAAGTCATTCTCTTATTTCACATGTTTCTTCTCAAAAAAGTTAGCACCTTCCAAGCCCTCTGGTAGATAAGTTTGACGGCTACTATCCTGGTCGTGGCTGTACAGGTATCCTTTGCCATATCCTGCAATATCGAAAAACACGTATACAGTTTTATAAAAATCGAGGTGTTTCTAGTTCACCTTTCATAAAACTAGAGCAAATTATGATTGAGGGATTAAGGACTCCATAAGATTAAAGAAAGGGACATATTTCTAAGCAAAACTACCCTGGGTTTCAGAGATTTTTGGTAACTTACTGGTAACAGTGATGGAAAAGGCAAAAGATTGCTCATGAGAGAAACCAGTTTTGCTAAATCTCTGAAATTAGGGATGAAGTAACTGTAAGCTGAAGGTAGAAAATGGGGGTAATTTTGAATAAAAAAGAGTCAAGTAGCCAAAAATTGTGGTTATGAAAACACTTTTTGATCAAACTTATAGTGTACATGCCCAGGTAATTACTGTAAGTGTTTATCCCAAGATGTATCAATAAAAAATATTTTACAACTGCAATGCGTCAATTAGCTAAAACATGTACTAGTATATGAAGGCAGAGGTGATAAACAATCATATATGTACATTGTATAGACCCGTCAAATCAATTCAAAAATGAGAAACAAACTGAAATCATGAGTAGGCAATTAATTCACCAATGACATCTTTTATTATTTCCATGGTAGCAGGCAGTCACTAAAAACAAAAACCAAAACACCTCCAAAGAAAAACATTACCTAAATCTTTCATCAATTTTGTAGAAGCATTCCTCAGATGCAGCGGCACACCTGGTAATGGCCCCTGATGGTTTTGTATGGATTGTTTAGCTTTGGCGTAAGCAGCATATGCCTCGTTTGACTTGGGAGCTTTGGCCAGGTATACAGTACAGTGGCAGAGGTTGATCTGAAGGGAGATGAAGAAATCTCATTGATCAGATGGACAATTTAAATCGTAAACAATTAAAAAAATTTAATTTAAAAATACATCTCTTTAACTGGCATGCCGTAAGTGTTAGACTTACATGTACATATGGCAAATTTTATTTCTTAGGAAATTTTGACTCTGTTTGCTCAATCATCAAAGTACATTTGTATAGGTACGTATATTGTATATATATATATACGTGTGTGTGTGTGTGTGTGTGTGTGTGTGTGTGTGTGTGTGTGTGTGTGTGTGTGTGTGTGTGTGTATATATGCAAAACTGTTCACAGAATTACTATCAGTAAACCAATTTTGGATGTTCTTGGTTTCTCATAATCTAGAGTCACTCTTGAAGTGGAGACATGCATGCATGGGTACAAATAAAAGAGAAAAAAGGGCTAAAATGCATTTAGAATAACTTAAAATGCATTGATATATATACTACAAGCATGTAGTATATGCAGCTATCTAAGTGGTGAGAAGATACCGGTATGTAACTGAAACCTTTTTCAGAACAAATGAAACTAAAAAGAAAGTATCGTTCAGACATGAGCTCGGGGTTTTAGAAATAACTATGAACATTTATTGTGGAACCAAACACCTTACATAATTTTTTGGGGGAGTTAATTGCTCTGGGGTCATGTAAAAAAGTGGAATTCCTTGTTTCCGCGGAAAAAGCTCATGTCTGATTGTTTTAAAGGGGAAAGATACGTTACTTCACATTCAGGCCTTCCAATGAAATGGCAAGCTTGGTATGTTGCAACTGCAAGTGGCAGTGCCTGTGGATCTGCAAGACCTGCAGTACAAATAACATGAGTATTACACTTTACCCCAACACAGACAGATACTTAATCATACCATACAAGGAGAGGAGTTTGGTCCTACCCTATTCAAAAATTAAAGAAAAAAACTGAAGGCAACATTCATCAGTAAATGAAGTGAACAAATAGCAGAGCAGACTTTTTCTGATAAATTAAGTCACCCAAAATCAGGAGAGGTAAAAAAAACTAAGCACTCTCAAAGTTTCACACAAAATAGTTACCGATGTCTTCGCTGGCACACACTACCAGCCTCCTTGCAATGAAGAGTGGATCCTCTCCTCCCAGTGTCATTCTTGCTAGCCAGTAGAGGGCGCCATTTGCGTCTGAGCCTCTTATTGATTTCTGTAGGGCAGAGGCACAGTGATAATGTTCATCACCTGAAAAATGCCCACATTCAAAATATCAACTGGAGCAGAACTTTTATGAGTTGCCTACACCATATGATATGGGAGATTTATTTTAATATTATCAATAGTTAAACCTTTGGAAAACAGAATGCACAACTTGGACACCAGTGAGACTAAACTGCAAGTAAAATAAATTATTCTGAAGATTTTAAACAAAGTTCTTTTGAACATTGTACTGTACATTACATTAAATTTCAGATTCTCTTAGAAATGTTGTAAAACAAATTTTTTGCTTTGGAATTATTGAAACCATGCAAACACTGTACAACTGGAATCTTTGCAAAACTATGGTTAGAATGAATTTTCTGGTACCACCATGTCATATTGTGAAATTTATTGTATAAAGCTAAAACAATTTTATCTGAAGTCACAACTACATTACCGGTATCTGTACAAGGATAAAGTGCATTAGGCACACAAGAAAGCTCATAATGTGAAGTCACAATATGAAAATCAAATATGAGGTTTATGTATATTAAACATAATGTATATTACCTGCTCTGTCATAATGAATATGTGACCTTTGCAACCCTTCCTTTACGTGCTCCACATCCACAACTACATATTCCTCTCCCATATCTGGCGTTTTCTCACCTGCCACTTCATTCTCTCCTGCCACATCTGATTTTCTCTTTTTTTGAGAGACAGCCGTTTTCTCAGCAAGCATTTGCCTGGAAATATTATTTTAAAAATATATCCAGTCTATACAATTTATCTATCCCAGCAGAATTTATAAAAAAAAATCTCTGAATTATGTGATGAACACATGAACATATATGTAAGCCAGAAAAAAAAATTTCTTATTTATTTTTCTTGTGTTAGATTTTGTAATGATGATGATTTGACATGACAGGTGTGTCAATCCTACACACCCCCAGGCAATGGCAGAGTAATTCATTAGAATTACTTAAAATATCTGATATCTAAACTATGGATACCTAATAAAACCAGTGAGCTCTTGCGTATGCAATGATATTTCTAAATATCACTTCTTCGACCAATACAGTGTATTAAAATTAATCAAAAATGTTCTGTTCAAATTTTATCAGTAACATATGCAATATTCGCTGACCTGGATTCTTTCCCATAATTGCCATGCCTTGCTGCCTTGTAAAAGGCCAGTCTTGATTCGATAGCATTCTGCAGAGTGTTCAGTGATGAACGGGCATCTCCATCACAGAGGTTTGCTAGGTACTTTACAGCATCTTTGGTAATAAATTTTCTAGGTCTGAGGAAAAAGTAATTCATTAAGTATACAAGAAGGTTTTAAAGATACAGTGTAATACTAGAATTACAATTTAGTCTAGACGAGTCTTTTCTAGTTTGTGTCTTCTTTGAGACTTTATCCACATAAGACAGAGCTTCTACATGTAAGTTATAATATAATATAATATAATATTTTTAAAATCAGTACGAATCTTGCTCATTAGTGAAGAATCTGTAAGTCCTAAATAGTTCATACTTCTCTGTGGTGGAATTTCCTTCAACAAGTTTCTTGGCATCATTTATACTTCCAACTACTTCAACACATAAATGCTGCAAAGCTCTGTTTAAAATGGTCACAATCTCCTCCGCTGTCAGCTTCTCTAACACAATGAGTTTACATCTGCTCAGCAATGCAGAGTTAACTTTAAAGGAAGGGTTCTCTGTAGTAGCACCAATCAGGGTTATTGTACCATCTTCCACATGGGGAAGGAATGCATCCTAAATTATGTATGAAAGAAATGTTAAGATGTATGGTATTTTGATTTCTGCCATGTTTTAAAAATGTCCTATGTGCCCAGCAATTAATCTTTAATTATGCAAATCATCAAGACATGTTGGTAATATATTCCTGAAATTATGTATAGAGGTGGGGTGGAAGCAGGTACAAACAGGCATACAACATTCTTTTTTTTTTTTTTTTTGTCAAAATGTGGAGTTGTAAATCAGGTACCACTTGAATGGAGGGTAAGCAACTTAAGTTAAAAAATTATATTCAACATGCCCTTCTTGGTGTGATAACATCAAAATTTGTGTCCTCCTCTATCAGAGAAGGATCCAATACATGGTAACGAAATTCTATCTTGTCAATAAAGAACAGGACCTGTACAAAATCAAGGGCAGATATTGGGAAATTTCCCCCCCCCCCCTCAAAAAAATAAATAAATAAATAAAATAATAATAATAAAGATGTTACAAGCTTTATAAGAAAATACAAAGCAACTTTTCCTTCCTTATATCCTACATACTGGTTTGTCATAGTGTCTTTGTCTACCATGTTATATTGTTATATTATATAAGGTACACCGGGGTAGCGCTAGCAATTTTTTTCGCTTAGCCAAATCACTGCTTTTTGGTCAATTTGTTATCCAAAAGGTTTTAATTTGACTAAAATTAGTCAAATCAAACCCTTTTTGTTTAGTCAAGTTAAGCAGTTCTTAGCATTTGGCTAAATTGGTGAGTGTTAGCGCTACCCCTGGTACATTTTTCTCTTTCCCCTCCCTTCTCTTATTTAAGTCCTAGATCTGCCACTAAATATGTGTTTTTCTACCTGTTGTGTCTTGTTGAACCTATGAACTTCATCAATGAACAGAATGGTTTTCCTTTTAAACAAGGCCAGCTCATTCTTTGCTTTTTTGGCTTCTTCCTTGACATCATTGACCCCTGAACCTGTTGCTGACATCTGTACAAACCGAGAATTGTTCTTCTTTTTACTAGCATTAGCTATGATACGGGCAAGGGTGGTCTAAAAAATTGATGACGTAAAATGTTATTATTATTAAGTTGCATCACATTTTTTCAATAATTACATTATATCCAAGTATGTCCAATCTCCCTGAAAGAAAGTTTTGTCTACAGGCAAAGAAAGCAATTTTTAATGCATCATATAATCGACAGCTTTCAATGCAAACCTTTTAATGACCTACTTAACAAATATCTAAATTAAAAAAATAGATTTCAAATTAAGAAAAAATATCAAGAATCAAACACTTATTGGGTGTAGAAAATATAGCATGAAAATTTCTGCATTACCAATCTTACTTTTTTTATAAGTATTACATATATAGTGCTTGTCAAAAAATTTTTTTAAATCACGCACACAAATGTGACTGCCAACACATGAATTTTTATGCTTATAAAGAGTTCACATACGTTGTTTGAAACTAATAAAATTTTAATTGAAAATGGTTTATCCTGCAGAATATCTATATATTTCTCTATACAACATAAAATGTTGATGAAAAGAGTAACAAGCTTCACATGTTAGAACAATAATAATAATAATAATAATAATAATAATAATAATAATAATAATAACAAACGGAGCGATTGCAGTTTGTAAAACGAAAGTGAAAGTGATCACCTTTCCACAACCAGGTGGTCCCCACAATATCATGGAGGGTATCGCGTGCGCATCAAGAAGTGACCGGAGTAGTTTATTACTCCCCAGTACTTGTGTCTGTCCAGTGTAATCATCTAATGTCAGTGGACGCATTTGCTCAGCTAAAGGCTTGTGTCCATCTTTCCCGCCAAAACCTAGGCACGAGTTTTCAGACGCATGCATTGTACGGCTTGTGCACGATGTTGTCGCTACCCCCGAGGGTTGTGCTGACCTTGTATTAAAAAATTTATTTTCGTTTGTAGTCTGATCTGACTGGCTGATCTGTGAAGAAGCATGTGACCCTTTCATACGGGGAATTCCCCCCTTTTGAGGGATCTCCTTCCTGTTTGGACTCGCCAGGAAACCCCAACTTGCCGCGATTTTTGTCTCTTCACTTTCAAACTTCTTTTTCTTTCTAGGTGGCATGTCATCCTCGCATTTCCCGTCTGTTGACGTCTCTCCTATGAACTTAGTATCTTCAGTCTTTAGACATTGATCGATGTGACTGTTTATTGTCCCGACAGTGCACTTCTTTCCGCACACCGGGCAATCAACGGCTTGATTGGGCGCAGCCATCTTGAAAAACTAGCGCCCTCTATAAACATTAGAGCGAATCGAGTTAGTTTAATATCCGGCTGGGTCAGCACTTTCATTTATCTGATATCAAACGCTTTATCTATGCCATCGTGGCTGGTGCTTTAAAGTAATATTTTTGATTGGCACTTTTTCAAGGTGGAAGTTAATTCACCAAAGTTCGCTCGGGGAGAACATGTTGGGGTGAATTTCGCACAATGTTGACCTATCATTTCACTCTTGCATAATTTTTGTACAAGTTAAGTACGAGTCGTTGACTTCCGCGATCTTCCCGTTCAACATGGCAGAGGAGCGGACGCCGCTGCTCAACTTCGACGATGAAAGCACAGATTTTCAAGATCCCAGACAGAAAATCAGGTCTCTTTATAAGAGGGATAATCACCTAGGAGTTCTTTCAACGCAGGATGAAGGGCTGATTAGGATAAGTCCGACCAACTCGGAGCAAAATTTGACAGAAGTGGACCATATTGTGTCTGTGTTTGTTGTGGCTTTTGATACAAAAGCAGGTAATCAGTCACTAACAGTGAATTTGCAGGTATTATATGTATGATTATGATTACAGTAAGGTGTTATCGATATCAAGTACGCGGTTGTTATGTAAAATCAGAAAGATAGTACATGTACCAAGTATGCTACATGTAGCTTGGATATTTACTGATTTATTTTCACCAAATTGATTTAAATTGTTTTTTAAAAGTTAAAAACTTGATCAAAGTGGTGCGCGATACAGTACATGTGTATATGGCTCTGGTACGGATAAATATGGTATATACTAGTACAGTAGTAGCCTATATCATTCGAAGGCAATGAGTATACATGAAAATGTGCTGGAGGCTACCAGGTATGTCACTGATACATACTGCATGGTAGATCTAGAGATAGTTAATATTCTAATAACCCCCCCCCCACATCACCCCTTATTTAAGCCAGGAGATATATAACAGTGTAGTATGTAACAAAAAGGTATCTGTCCTATGAATCTTGATATACTGGTATAATGGATCGAGATATTTTATTTCTTTTAATTAAGATAATACCAATATGCTTAAAGGTGCATGTTAATTTATTTAAGAGAAACAGTATGTGTACTATTTATTTTTCATTCCAGGAAATGTGATAGAGTGGTGCCTTCCACAAGAAATGGATCTTGAGGGAGTAGAATTTAAATCTATGCCAAGCGGGTCACATCATCTCTTAAAAGATTTTGTGTAAGTATAGGGTACTCAACTTAGGGTTCATCATTCTGTACTTGGGAAATTTCAGGTGTTCTGTAAATAAGTAAAGATACATGCTATGCAAATACCCATATTTACTAAGTTTTCTGCTGCATTGATCTGTTAAAACTGAAGCTGGGCATTCCCATGCCTGTTGCTGAGTTCAGAAATAGAGATTAGAAATATGCATTTGTTTGATAGTGTGTTTATGATTGCATAAATACATTGTATACTTAACCATGCATTTTTTTCATTCAAAAAATTTTTAGCATGCTTGCTGCTTAATTATTTTAAATGGAAACTTACAGACTCATGTCTTCTGTGAGGGTGAAAAATGAACTCCAAGTTAATTTATATAAATGTGTATCCATTAGTATGACCAGGAAGTTAACATATCATGGACATGCCTGTAGACAAATTTGGGCTGACCTTTCTCTGTCCCAACTTTGATTAAGTTCATATTCCATTTTGTTCTCGAGTGTTTGTTGTAGTAGTGGTCACGGGGGAAACAGGGATTGCATTTGCTTCCTATGGCAGATTTCACTTGAAGGTATCCTGTCCTTAAATTCAGTTTTCCTAAAAAAAAAAAAATAATATTTAGGAAAAAAAGAAAACCTTTTTCTACTCACCCTACAATTTCGAAATTTGTGTATGCTACTTTTATTTGCGATATTTCATCATTTTTAAGGTCTGAATTGGGGAAGGTAAGTAGCTTAAAAAGTGTGCAGGATATGTTGTCCTGGAAAACATGCCCTAGAAACATTTTCAATTGCAGTAAAACTTTAACCAGATAACAAGTCCCCAGCTTTGGACTGTACCAACATGGGTTAACCCAAGTTGGATATAAACCATCTTGGGACTGTATGTATACTATGTTCTTGAAGCCAGGTGTCTAACCATAAGTGCAGTGTGAGAACCTATGTGTTGGGTTCTTTGGGAGTCGGTTCATATTGATTTCCTGTGTACAGCATGGTTAACTAAGCAGATAAATCAACACATCATCAACATGCTTGTGGTCATGTTACCATTAAAAATGCACCAGCCTTGCTATTACTGATAAGGAAGCCTGCCAAATGCTTGGTAAATTTAGATGTATGATGGTGATTACTTGTAGAAATTAATTTGCAGCAGAATTGATTGTGTTTTTGTATGTAACACAATTATGTTTTGTTATTGTGCTCGGAAAAGCTTAGTAGAAAGTTTTGAATAACTAGTTTGGCATATGTCAGAAAATCATATTTTTGTGAAAAAAAATTAAAATAATTGAAGTCATGAGGGACAGTTTTGAGGAAGATTTTTAGCCCAAAAATTGGCCAGTTTTGGCCAGTATTGTGTTGGCGTCTGTTTGTGACATGATGATGATTTTCTCAATCTGTGATGCAGTTTTTAATGCAGTGAGAAGATACCCAGTACATGCATGAGTTACATTCTTGACTTGTTTAATAAATCCATACCAATTTTCTGCAGTGTGCATTTATCACGTAATTACTGAAGTAAGCTATTCCATCAAAATTGCCATTTTTTTCATCAATCAGTACACAAAGTATCATCAATTATACAATGAATTGCGGATGTGCCTGCTATCCATAATTTTCACTTTAGAGAAGAGTACTTTCAGGTATTATTCTGGTTTGTATAATACATCAAAGGCAGTAAACGAAAAGATGGTGACATTTTCAGAACTGTGTTTGTACTAGTACATAAAGAGCACTGTACGTTGCATTCATAGCTACATGTACAACGCGTCTTCTTTCTGATGCATCTTGGTAACTTGCTTTTTGTCAGTGTTTGTACAGTGAATTAGCTGAGGGCGGGATATTGATTCTTGTTAACTCATGTGTAGGATGTTCTCTGAAGGCGCATTTACATTGCAGTTGTAACATCTTAATTTAATACTATATACTGTCTCAGCTGAATATGATTCCTAACCATCCATACAACTGGGCATGGCTAGTGTCTTAAATCAATTATTTCTCTGAAAGATGGTACAATGGAGAGACAAGATTTATCCTACCTGGTGAAGGTTTCATAATCAAAGAGGGTCTGTTTCACAAAACATTTCAGATCAGTTTTTGGGCTAGAATCGTAGCCCACTAAGAATATTGATTTAAATCAGTTACAGTATGTTTCTGATGTGTGGGACGATAAAAAGATCAGAGCTGCACCATGTGGTGAACTTCTGAATCACAGGGTCCACAGAGATGGTATTTACAAAATCCAGAAAATATCTAAAAGATCACCTCATTTTATCTCTGTTCTTCTACCTAAGCTTTTGAGAAAATTGTCATTTTATTGGCTGAAATTTTATTCTCATTGATCATGTACAATAGCCCATTTAAGAATGTTTAGTGCATTTAATGTGAAGCAGCCATGTATTGTNATTTTAGAGTAAGCTTGACCAATATTGACCATAGACCAGAAACAATCACTGTGTAAGGAAATGGGTTCCAGAATCGATTCCAGTCATTTATTCAAAGTGTGCAGGAAGTACTCGGAGTGTTAATCAGCAAGAAAAGTCATTCAAAGGGAAAATGGTCAAGAACTGTATTGCCAATAACCATTGGGCCGTGTTATTTCTCTGCTATGATTTGTTCTTCCAGATATTTTAGAAAAGCCGAGTTCTATGGCCTAGCGTGCTTTGAGAATATGCCAGTGGAGAGCCAGATAGAGAGGGGTGCCAGAATGAAGTCTGTGGGAATCCTCTCAACCTCATACACACTTTTATATAGACACATGCAATTACTGGAAACCCAAGTCAGGTGCGTTTTTTTTTTTTCTTCTCCTCCCCCTCTCCCCCATGCACACATATGTGCATGCATATATGTACGCATGCACGGAAACACACAAACATAAGCACACATTGTACAGACACTTGTACACATGAATTCCTACACTGAAAGGCACAAACTACTTTTACTTTCACACGGGCAGATATGCATGTTTACATGCCTGCACACACGCCCAAACATATGGACAGCACGACAGTGTTGTGTTTTCACTGATCTTTTATTCTCATGTGTCTAGACACCAGTTGGAGACCCCAGGCAGGTACTCCCAGTTAGAGGCATTCTACGAAGACAAGAAAGCAGTGCTGCCACCCAGTGGTAGCGCGGGGAGCTTACGAAACTTAACATCGACTCCAGCATCAACACCTAGTAGTGACATACTGCCAGAACTCAAAGTAAGCTATTATTAAAGAAGAAAGTAGACTTCAATGATGACATATGCTCTTCATGGTAAAGATGGTAAAAGTAAATCTTTTCTAAAACTTCAAAGACGTCATGCTGATTAAAAAAAACTCATGCCTCATAGAAAAAAGTTAGGACTCTTTAGAAAGAAAGTTTTTTTTCACTTTTTTTGAAGCTATTAAATAAGCATGCCGATAATCTTGGTGCCCACAAAAAAGTTGCTAGAACTGCATCTCTGTGTTAACAGTGGCTTTTATTGAATATTTTGATCGATCATCAAACATTTAAAGAGCAGTGGCATTTCTGAGGCATAAAAATGAATACGATGATAATTTTCTAGTTATTTAATACAGTCATTTTTTGCACATTTTCATACCTTTAGGGTTTAATGAGAAAAAGCATGGGTTATCAACACTATATTGGCATCACTGGTGTTTAGCATGCTCTTCTGTTACTGCAATACATATTGGACTGGGCTGCAATCTACACTTGTACCAGTAACTGGCACTTCTAAAGAATAATTATCAGTAAGATTGTACATGGTGAATATAAAGTTCTTGACTCAAGAATAAGCTTTCTACAGCCTGATACATACATCAAGTTACAAAGATTCACTGCTTCGGTTGAAGAAAAAAGATCACATTTGTACTTCATTTTGAATTGGTATGTGTTTGATAGAAGATTTGATTTCCTAGGTGAATGGAGGTGAATAGAGTTTAATACAGTAATGTCTTTTCAATGGGCAAAATTATCAAACTTTCAGACACATAATTTTATATTCACAAAAATTATATTTCTACATGCCATTTGTGTTTTAACTGCATACAGTAGAACTGTAGAGTAGCCTGCTTTTAAATTTTGTTGCTACCACTCAATAGGAATTTCATAATTTTAAGAAATTATGACTTTAAAAATACAGATACTGTGAAATTCACAATTTTACCCCATTGACAAGATTGAGTTATTACTGTTTATGTCCCTCCCCATGGATCTATGGACTATTCCTATCCAAAACACTTTCCCCATCCCTAGACAGGAGATCATTCATGTATTCAACACATAAGTTGCCTGTTGTCTATGACACTGTTATAACCACCCTGAGTTTCATTCTTATTTTAGCTCTGTTAAGCCCCTGTCACATTTTTTCGGAATCAGCAGGAATCAAGCAGAACCAGCCGGAATGACTAAATTAAAAAATTCGTACTACATTCAGGAAGAAATTTCAAATTGACCTAAATTCTTGTAAGAATGCCGTTGGAATACTCATAATGCGCTTGAATCCGCTTTTCGGCTGTATTATCTCTCAAATGCAGCCCGAATATAGTTGGAAAACTAGGAATATCAATTATGCTGTCAGAATGTAGTCAGAATATTTAGAATACACTTTGAATGCTTTACGAGTGTAGTTCGATTGCTGGCTGAAATAGGATCGAGATGCATTCTGGAGCATTGTAGCAGGATTTGAAGTGTCTTGCCATTTCGGTTCTCCCTCGAATGTGATCAGAATGTTTTGAATGGTGTCAGATCGCAATACTATTCCAATGTTATTTGATAATTTTCCACTTGGAATGCACTTCGAAAGTTTTTAACATGAGCAAAACATCTGGGCCGGCCTGGTGAAGTTCTCAATGCCCAGAAACTCTGGGTAATCACAGTTCTTGTTGCCACGGAGATAATTACAGTACTAGTGCTTGTTGTCATGAGGAAAAATTAGTGGTATTCACCATTTCTTGGTTGAAGGTATCTCATGTATTAACACTTAACAACCTTCAGTTGCCCATTCAGTATATGCCATCAGAACCGCCCTGAGTTTCAGAGTCTAGCTGGTAGTTTGCCTCTCTTACCAGCATATATATTGGGTAGAGGCAGTTGCTCTAAGTACTCTGAAACTCAGGGTTTTCACAGTACGTTTCCAGGAGGAAGTGCCTCTTTGTGATAAGAATCAGCTCAAATACATTTTATTTCCAGTCATTGTTCTGCTCCATAAATAGACCTTTGATGACGGAGGAACTTAACCGTTATGGTTTCTGGTGCTAGGCAACAGATTGCTTCTGTGTAATAGAGTTGAAATCAAATTCTGTTGGGATTAGGTGGTAGTAATGATCATTTAGCAGATATAGGGACTGAATCTATTCTGATTCTGTTTAAGTACTTACTGGTGTACTGCTGTTTGAAGTTGCGGTTTTTAAGAATGGCTCTTGCATTGGTGATCCAGCATCTTTTCCTGACATATATTGTTACATTTTTTATTATTTTTAAGTATCCCATTGTTTTAGTCACTAGAAATTATTTATAGATGATAATTTTTCAACTGTTTTGGACAGGATATACCTTGAAAAATTGTAGAAATTTCTAGGAAAATTGTTTCTGTTATATTGCTATATAAAGGTCCAATTCACATTCTATTTCTTTGATAGAAAAAAAAAGCATTTAGAGAGTGTCGATTTCTGCCAAGACATAATTAACTAATAATTAACCATTAATTTCTTTCATGACCCATCTTAACAGTTAATAAAAATTTCTTTTTGGATAATGTTGCTAACAGACAAACTTACAAACCAAATAAGTTACAGAACCAAAAACATAACCTCCTAGATGAAGGTAACAACAGATCAACACACCTTGAAAAATATATTTATTTTTGCATCCCTATTCTGTGGTATGGCCAGAATAATAATAATAATAATAATAATAATAATAATAATAATAATAATAATAATAAAAGATTAACACGTCTTGAAAAATATCATTTTTGCATCCTTGCACTGTGGTATGGACAGAACCACTACTAAGCCAGAGTACACTTCATTCTTACCTTCCATTACTTATAGCTAGTGCCAACCAGATACCAGGAACATTTATTCATATTCTTAATTGAGTTGGTGACATGTAATCAATATTTATCAACCCCAGAGGCCTTTTGTTGTATTTTCTTGGGGCGTTATTGTATATAGAAGTGATGAATGAGGCACAAAACCTTAGAAATGCTACTCATATCAATATAGTTCGTAATATTAAAGAATTGCATATTATACTATTGTGATAAGGAAACTTATGAACATTGGTAGTTGTGCTGTACTCTCTGGTTGAGAATTGATTTTCCAAGAACTATACAGTTAGGGCCAATTTCAATTGAAAGATTAAAAACTTAGACCAAAATTTAAGTCTACTTTGATCTAAGGTAAAGCAGTAGCAGTTGAGTTAAATGCAATCTTGTAGCCATTTAAAATAATAAAGACAAATAGTTATTATGTCTCCTTGAACTAAACTGACTTAAATAATAAGACGTGTCTCTTAAAAGAATAGAACAAACTCAAGTACAATGTTCTAAATTTGGCTGATGACGGTTGCATTTATTGAAGGTCCCATTAATAAAAAGAAATGAAGCAGATTAATGATAAACATTGAATAGTGTTGATTATGATATTAATGTAATGTTTACGCCTGAAATATCTACATTTAAAATTATAATTTCCAAAGAAATAGTGCACACATTTCAATCTGTGGGGTTGCAAAGATAGTTACTGATATACTTAGTGGACTAAACTGCATATGTAATTATCCTTAATAGAAATACATCAATAATTTTGGACTAAAAATAAAGACCAGGTTTCAGCTTAATTTCTTTTTCTAATGATATTTAATAAAACTGGGCCCTTCTTATACATTACAGTTAGTTTTACAGTTACCTACACTGTACAATACACATTCTGTTTTCTTCATTGTTTGATATCAAAACCATCCTGACAGAGCTTAAAGGGATAATAACTCTTCGTATGAGATTTATATTTCACAATAAAAACCTTGTGAATAACTCATAGAAATAAAATATATTCTGTTTTACCACAAAAACAGCAGTTACAGCTATTATTCTGATATCTGAGCTTGTCTTTAGACCACGTGACCTCCATTGATGGCTATACTCTGTTAAAATCTCTTAAGTGATTTTAACAAAAAACCAAACTTTTTAGAAAAAAACCAGGGACTAACTTTGAATGTGAGAATGGATTCATTTACCATTGGTAAGTATGGGAAAATTGTTGTTTACTCCAGGAAAATTCATTTTTTGGCTGAAACGAAGAGTTATTATCCCTTTAATGGAAACCTTGAAGTGGAAACTCAACCTATATTATCAGCATGGCCCTGCTGTCTTCAGTTTATCTCTGAAACTTAGGTTAATCAGATTCGGTAGTAATCGTAATTATTATTACATCTTCCAGATCACACATCCTGCCGGCTGCTTCTCACAGTTCATCAAGTTCTTTGGAGAACAAATCTTTGTTCTGTGGAAGTTTGCATTATTACAGAAACGAATCATTTTCTTCTCCCCGCCTCCTATAGGAGTTGTGTGTTATCGTGGTAAGTACACACATGGACTTTCATGCATACTGGCAAGTGTAGTGTTATACCTCCTATTTAGTAATCTGTTGCCATCAGCTCTCAGCTGGCAAGGTAGAAGCCAGATTTTCTAAAAGAATAAAACTCTAAATGGAATTAGAATGTTTTTACTACACTGAAGTATTAAAGAAGATCTGGTACATGTAAAATGGCATTTGATTTTATACAGAAGAATTCATTTCAGCTGTTTGTGGTTACTGAGTTATGAGAATGATGAGCTTTGTAAAGATAATATTAATGGGGTTCTCATGGGAAAGCACTAAGTGCTGGTTTCAACACCATTACTCTCAGATGATGTTAGCATTTCACTAATTGGCAACGTAAAAGCTTTCTTGTCTGGGCTTTTAATATTATCTAATATAGATAGGATGAAAGAGAGAAAGAAGTACGTGTAGAAGAAAAACAGAAAAATAATGGTATTTTTGTGGATTATTTCTTGCACAGGTTTTTTTGGGGTCAAATTTACAGATTTTAATATTTTTTAAAATATAATTTGTACTTTTTTTTAATATATTAAAATATATTTCATATATAATTTTTTCTAGTTTACTGTGCCTGCTGCCTAGCCAATCACAGCTCAGATTTAAGGATATCCAGTCACGAAGTGGAGCCCTATTTCTACATTAACGTCGCTGATATCGACAGTTTAGAATCAGAGGTCTCCTTTATTGCATGTAAGTGAAGTATTCAGCATGAGTAATTTGAGAATAATTGAGTGTTTTGATGTTGTTTTGAAGTACAGTTCTGGGAAATTTATGTAGGTTTGATTTCCAGGAAGTTGATGAACAAGTTTTTTCCATTAAAGCCACTGTACAAATAACTTGTGCTTGATTAGGAGAGGAAGAAACTGTTTTGTGCTTTCAAATTAACTATGAGTTAGGTGAAGTTTGTTGGTAAGTTTCAGCTGAAACCAAAAAAAAAAAAATCATTCTGAAATAATTCTTAAAGAAAAATGATAATTTGAGTTTTGAGATGATGAGCTATGCAGAGTATGTTGTATAGTATACTCTTAGTATTTGTGTGGTTGTCTTATAAACTCCTCCAATAAAGGAGGTTACTAGTATAAAGACATTTTCACCATCACTGCTTTGTCCATTGTTAGTGGACAAAATATCTCAAAAGTGCTTCATAAATTTTGATGAAATTTCCAGGGTAGACATAAATTTCAGTGGGAAAGAAGTGATCATGGCATTTTCAGTTTAATTTCTTTTTAATTCCTCTCTTTTTTCCCAAGGTACCACAGAGAAGATATTTCAGAGTAAAACCCAGCTTTATGATGTCTATGTGGACAACCAGGATGTGACTACACATGTTCCTGGACTGCAAGAACTGCTACGAGTTAGCCCTGCTGACAAAGATAAGATGGCAAAACTCAATAATCAGAGGTAAGGAATGATTTTCACATTTATATGATTTGTGCATTTAAGGGTCTATGCCATAGTTAATCTTTTCAGTTCTTAGGTCTCATAATTAGACTACCTGCTAGAAAGCTACTTATTGTGTAAATATTAATCTTATATGTACAGTCATTGATATTTTTTCATAGTCTAAGATTTACCATGTTGCAGTAAAAAGTGTGCGTGTCGTGTGTGTTCATGTGTGTGATTGGACCCACCTTCCCCTCTCCACCCCCTATTGCCAACAAGAAAAAACATTGCTTTTAAGACTGGTATTAAATAAGATTATTAAAAGTTCCATTTTCTTTCCCAGATCAGCCCAATTATTCTTTGTAGAAGGACTCGGAGAACAAACAGCAATGGAGGAAGAGGAAGTGTTTACTCTGTATGTAAATTAATTCATCTGCTTAGTGTCAAGTTGTCTGCATTTAGATTTAACAACATACAAGACTAATGTTTTTTAAGATGGTCATATTTTATCATTGTCAAAGAAAAATAATGACAAATGTTTTGTAACTAGAACTAAAAATAATTGATTCAAAATTTTTGAAAAATAGTAAGACTTAAACATCTTGACAAGGTAAAACATTCAAACATTTTAAGAAATTACATTAAAAATCCAATTTCAGATTTTTCACAGAGCAAAACAACAGGATATTCCAGACATTGTTGGATGTTAGTGTATCAATGGACAGGACGTTGACTTCAGATCATATGAGAAGTATGGGCCTGGATCCCATTGGGGACCGCCCCTTTCTTATGGAACTAGTGGAAATGTATGGCATTGACGTTGTTCTCATGATTGATAACCCTTGCTGTCCTAAATAGAAATAAATAAGAGAATGTAGGTGGAAAGATTGAATTCGTTGGAATGAGAAGGACCCCATGCATATTGGAAATGTTGGCAGTAAGCATTTTGACAAGTTTTTCATACTGCCATATGTGCTATTGCATCATGGAAGGACTTCCAATGGTTTTACATCGATGGCTACCATGAATGAGAGAAATTTTCTGGATGCAATATTTTAGAAAAATCTCTTCTATACTGGTACCAGTGCATCTACTTAAAATGTTTTTGAAAGCTGAGCTTTATGAAAGCAGAAATAAAAATAGGACACTTACAAGGCTTCAAACAACTTATCACTTGTCTTTTATTTATAATTTATACTGTGATAAATTCATAGAAATAGGGGGCCACATTAAAAAGTGGGCAATTTTATGATTACTGTTCATGATAAGTCTTTGTGTTTGAAAAATCATTTAGAAGCCCAGGCTTGAGTTGAAGGATAAAAATTTGGATCAGAACTTGATACATTGTACACACAGAACATGTGTTTTTACTTTTTTCTCAAAAGAATTTTATTTATCTCATCAAATATAAGTATTTTGCAGCTAAAATGTATATATAAATTTTAGTTTATATTTTCAAACCGATATCAATTGAATTTTGTACATAGCACGAATATGTCAGCTACTTGATCTTTTAAAGTGATTAAGATTAAGTTTTAAGATCATGACGAAAGAATTTTCCTTTCAAAATAAGAATTTCATTACAGCACTCAGTATGTTAAACATCACAATATAATGCTAAGAAATCAGGTAAAAACTATTCCTGTAGTGGGCATAATTTTCTACTGTGTATGTCCTAAAACAGACTAGTAGACACTTTGATCAGAAAAATGACCTAATAAGGATAATAATGTTCAAAACATTTAAACATAATTTAGTTTAAAAATGGGCACCAGAGGTCAGGCATGAATATTGATCAAAGTGATCGCATTTCATCCAAACAAAATTTAAAAGAAATATCTTTTGTAGTGATGCCTTTGATGCAATAATGTAAATGAAGATAAAAGGTAGTGTTGACATAAGTTTTGAAGAAAAAGCAATCAGATGCAAGTTAAATCTAAATTTAATGGAATAGTTTGAGATGGCAACTTGGTCTCTGATCTGCTGGGTATCGTGACCTCTACATTCAAAGAGGACCTTTTCTTTAGATATCCACAGATGTTTCTCTGACTATTTTATGTACATTTCTATACCATGTGAGTTTTTGTGAAAAAGAAAATCACCAATCTGGCCTCTGGTAGAATCTGAATAGATCTATATCTTGGGAAAGATTAGATTGTTTGATAAGTTATGAAACAAATTACATGTATCTGAAAATATCTATGGCTGGATTCTGTTTCTATCAGAATCTAATAATTTTGAATAAATACCTTTATTATAACTGTGATTCTTCAATGATTCATTAAATTGGAATTAAGTAAAGTCCAGTTTTAATTTGTTCAATGCAATAAAAAATACTGAAAATATGCACAAGGATTAGATTGAAAACAGGGGGAGGGGGGTACTTATGCCGGAGTTTCAGCAGGGAATTATATCGGATATAATTCCCTGGTTTCAGCGGTCTTTGAAAACTGGCCCTTCTCTGCTAACAGCATACCTGTGTTGTTTCTTGTAAATTTAACAATGTAACTGACTGAGCCAAACTGATGATAAATAGGTGAGCTTCCAGAGACCATTGAAATCAAGGCAGTATATGTATACTTCCTTGATTCCAGGATGAGGATATACAGATTGATTTGATGCACTTGGGGGAGGGGAGGCATTTTAAATCGCACAGTCAGTCCACTGCATGGTCATCTAGTCCACTCTGATGGGACAGCGAAACTGCCCCTAAAAATAAATGGAATTGTCCTACCAACACCCCACAAATTGAATGGGCTTGCCCCACCTGTAAGGCTTGCCCTATATTCACTGTCATACCAATGCAGTCACACATATTACACTTATGTCAAAACAATAAAGCAAAGAAATTTAGATGTGTCATTTATGGCCTTAAAATAAATCAGACAAAATCAATTTGTTTAAGATTGATACAGATCATTTTACCATTTGTTCATAAAGGTCTTTAAAAAATCATAAAAATGCAATCATCTCCATGCTCTTCTGAGGTTATTGGTTTAGACATACAAAGTCTGTTGTCATGTTTATGCAATGATATGGCTCATTCTGCGTATGGAGATACTAGCATACAGTAGCAGTCACCACTACATTTGCTTTTTGGGAAATATTTGAATTCCCATTGTAGTTTATCCTCCAAAAATATTTACCTTATGTTGCTCAGTAGAAAATTTGGAAAAGGGTTACTTCCATTAATCTTAAACAAAATTAAATATAATTTTGATATAAATATTTCATAAACAACCGTAAAGTCATAATCCCATGTTTATAGGGCATGTAATTAAAACATTGCATGGAAATTACACAAAGGAAATAATATATTAGAATAGCCAGAGCTACTGGTCAACCTATTTGGAATAACTGAACCCTTAAAGTGGGATTTGGCACTTTCATCTCATTTTCGTGTGCAAATAAATTAAATAAAGTAAGTGAAAGTTAAACAGAATATGAATAAAAGACGATGAGCACAGTGACAGTTATCAAATTTCCTCAATAACTCACTGATGTTGTTTTATCCTCAAAGCGAGGCTGGGGATTCCCTTCCGTGACCTATTTCTGTCAATTTCCAATTCAGGCAGGTGGTTTTCCAAAGATGGCGGACTAAGTGATGTTACAGATCAGATGATTTTTTAATATTATAAACAATGCTTTCGCTGTGGCATGCGGTAGGTATGACTCGGTTTGAACATGTTGTAAATGGCGATACTTTGACCTGGGGATGATGTTAGATTTTTAGTTAAAACTCGAAATAAATATTAAAATTGGACTTCGGCCTTTCAGTGTACAGTTACATGTACATGTACATGCTAACGGCACCCCTACCAAAGGCTTTACTGTGAAATTAAAAAAGCCAAAATCTGACATAAAAAATAAAGGAACTAACTTGTGTATAAATAGTTGCTTGAGATTGCACATTATTATTTTTACCTTACATTACATTTTTATAACCTAAAACTGAATTAGACTTTTAGAGTTTAGAGTTACTACATGTAATTTAGTCCCTTCCATAATGGAAATGGACAAATGGATTTTTACTTGAGTTAGGTTTTGTGCAATAATGAACCTTTAGACCAATACCCACAGGGACTATCAGGAAATACCTCATGTACAGTCGACCTATCTTTGAAATACTGGTACAGCTGTACGGTATTGGTGATGTCTCTTATCTTAATCTCAAATATACTACATGGACACTATTGTTGATAGGTCACAGCTATTTACCCCAGTGTTCAATAACATTGATTTCCCATGTTTTCATATCTGGACACTGCTGGTATGTTGTAGGGTTAGAATAGAATATGTGTGATGGGTGGCTGGAGTATGTGCTCTCTCACACTATAAAGTGAAGGGGAGTATTAACAGTATTCAGCAAGATGAGCCTAATTACCAATTTGTGTTTCAGTGGTACCAGCAACTTTAACAAATTGTAGACATTTTTCTCTTTTTTTTTTTCTGCTTCTAAATTGGTGAAAAACCTTTGAAAATGCAAGCTCTAAGTGCAGTACTGTGCTAGTACCAGTACATGTATATGACTTGTATGAAGGTATTAATATTACATGTGGCTTGCCAAGTAGAAGTTGCTAATTAATACTATGATAACAGCTTATAGCAACAATTCTTTTTTTTTATCCCATCAGCAGCTTTTAGAGGTGATAGTGAAGATGTGACTGCTCTATAACCATGAGGGTGTTCAGATGTAGGCGGTCAGTGAGCCGTAAACTGGTGGTCAGTCTGGTCATCTTGGCTGTTGTCACGCTGGCCGTGGTCAAAATACGGAGCATTCTGAAGAAGATGCTCTGTTCTGAAGAGGAATCCAGGCTCATGATAAAAGAACTGGTAATTATAAACTTAATTGTAATTGAATTGTATGAATGTGTGATTTATTGATTGATTGATTTTACTTAAATAAATATAATAACTGTGTTCAGAGATTGTTAATTGACCAGTATACTTATTTACAGTGAATAAAAATGAGCTGTTTACATTTTTGAATTTCATGCATTAAAAAACTGAGAGTTAAAAATAAAAAATAAATAAATAGATAAAAAATACTGTAATTAAATGGATATTTTGATTGATAACATAGTTATATGTACGGTACGTATTTTTTTAAACTACATATTGGAGAAACACAAATTACCAGCGTTTTATCCCTTAGTCATAATAATGATAACACTTATTTATCGAAACCAAAAATTTGAATGGCACATTCACTGAATACTAAAATTTATTATTATAACTCTGAGGAAGAGATAAAGAACAGTAAAATGTATTTAAAAATCATTTTCAAAAACTTTAAAGAATTTAAGTTAACTTTGACACTATCTAATTCATTGATTCATTGATTGAAGATTTTATTCTAGTGCAAGCTTTATAAAACCCAGAATGCAGCAGGAAACATCTGCCCAGACTTATGTGAGACTTACACACTGAAATATGTCAGCTGCACAAACTATAGGGAGGGGAAGAAGATTCTCATTATGAACTGGAAAGGGAAAAAGGCAGTCCTTAAAAGTAAATATGCCTTTAAACATGACTATGATGGCCTCTTGTTTGGTGAGGATGTTAACAAGGACCTGGATCTTCCTGTCAGCGAGTTTCTCAAGATGGCCCAGGAGAGCATCGTGTACAACATTGGTCACAAAATGGAAAGAAACCTGCAAATGCTGACAGATGTTTGGTCTTTAGATTTTAAAGATTACATCAACGTGCCAAAATCATCTCACCGCCATCCAAAGAAAACTGCAATGGAGGATCTGTGGGCTCTAATCCAACAACAAGAGTACCTCTTCATGAAAATTTTCCAGGACAAATCGAAACACATTCCACGCATATACGGCACATGCGGCCATGCCTACCTGATGGAGCACACGCCCCCTGGTGAGTTTTTAGATAATGATGTGCCAAGGGTGCCTATGGCTAAGAAAGAAACTTGGAAAAAGAGGGCAAAAATAGCTCTTGGTCTTCTTGATCTCTTGCAGTCATTCCAGAATGATCTTCCAGAGGAGTTTAACATGTGTGATATCAAAGGAGAAAATTTTGGCCTTGCTGAAGATGAGACCGTAAAAGCAATTGATGTTGATATGGCATTTCTTGACTCCAAGCTTGGAATGGAGCTGCTGTCGGTTGGGAACTGTACAGCACACAAAGACTGTGATTTCTTTGACTGTAAAGGCTGGTGTGATCTCTCTGAAGGCCAGTGCACAAGGAATAGGATTAATAACAATCTACAGGTATGTATTTGATAATCCTGAACCATATAAAGTACAAACTGAATTCCTAGGTCAAGTCTTACAAAAGAACTCAAAACTGAAAGGTCCTTATGTTTCAGGTCAGAAGAGAGTAGTTTTCCACTTAAATGCATTCAGTTACCATCTGGTCCAGTGCAACCAGGTTTAGGAACTTATTTCTGTGATAGTTGATATTGAATTTCAATTAAAACTGGAAAAGCACTCAGAGAGCACAGACTTCCACCAAGACAAATAGTTGACCATTAATTAATAAATGGATCACCACCAAAACCTGATCATTTGTTCCTTGGCCCATTCTGACCTATCCTGAAAATTTCATCATAATCTGTTCATAACTTTTTGCATAATGTTGCTAACATACTAATTTACCAACAAACCAACTAACTAACTTACTAACAATTAAAACCAAATCATAACCTGACAGATGTAATTATCAGAAAGTTGTAATGACAGCGTTACAGTATATGAATTTAAAGTTAATTTTTTTAATTTTTAAAATCTTTCTTCACATGCTGGTACATGTGTAGGGGGCACTGTTGTAAGGCACTGGTACTAGCAATAACAAAATGAATGTGTTATTTAAAAAACAATTTCCAAAACTTGCTTTCTGTTACAAATTCACCTATTTTTTCCTCAGGCTGTTTGCAAGGATATCTTCCTGAGTGGACTGGACAACATATGGCACGGCTTGCTCAGCTCTCCACCTCTGTCTATAGAACAGGCCCTGCTGGAAGAAATAGAGGAGTGTGCAAACCCTGGGAATATCCAACACCCTGACATCAGATACAAGGCATCTGGTCAGTCTCTGCAGAAAATAAGGACTTTAATCATGAAAACCCTTGGGTAGTCAGCAATATTTGTAAGTGCAAATCTGGAACTGATTCCAGGGTGCAATGTATTGACGAAGATGGAGATAGTGCCAGACTACTTAATTTGATAAATTGGCAAAAAAATCTTGTAGAGAAGTGTTTTATATTGAGAGAATTGGTTATTGTTTATTAAATGATGATCCAAGAACAGAACTGAATATTTGACAGCTTTTTGCTGCTTAGTTTTACAAAATACCAATGAGAACCGGCAGGTTCAATCTGGAAGAATTTTTTTTCAGGTTAAAATATGACATGTGCTGTTCACAAGATTTAAATTGAGTGCCATATAACCTGTGGTTTAAATTTGAATTAAGGGAGTAAAGATCAGATAGGTGCTTATATGTATTTTCAGTGATTGCAGAATTGCATAAAATGCTTCAAGATTTTAATTTTTTTTAATGTGCAATTACTCTATGGACATTTATGTGCAAACTGATGAACCTAAAATTTGAAATGTGATTAATGTTTGTATATTGTTTTTCTTAAGGGAATATAGACATTGTGTATATATGTGAATATACAATTAGGCTAGACCTTAAAAACCTCTATGCAACCCAATTTTATACCAGTATTTGCCAGATATGCAAGTAGGACAGTATTTTTATTACTCTTTTACATGTACATAATTTTAGATGTTTTAATCATTCTGAATTTTACCAAGTCATTTATGTGAAATTCCCTATAACCAAATGATGAATTTGAGGAAAATTTCCTGAAAGGTTGTTCTATGTGATTCAGCAGCCTACATGTAGCTTCATGTACCAGAATTATGCAACTTCCATATTTTAACATTGTAACTGTACATTTATATGAATGCAGAAATAAATAAACCACGCTAAGTGTCTTTAAATCAATTGAATTATAATTGGCAATCAAGTAGATATATATTTTTGTCTTGAAGTATTTTTGTTTGCAAAAAAACGCCCCCCCCCTCCAACCCATCATTATTACCGGGAAGCGTAAAACGAGTGTAATCTAATGTAATTGCGATGGGTGGGCCCCAAAAATCTCAACTGTAACATTCATGCGCTGTGAAAACGCTTGGACAGCACTGGACAGTTCTGAAAGGTTCAGTCACGACTTCTGAGTTGCAACAATCGCCAATCATATATCTGGTGGTATTTAATTCCTTTTGATTTTTAATACCAAATGAGAGCCGGAAAAGAAGTAAATATATCCAACACTGGATCCCGCTAAGTGATAATCCGTTCAAAGCCAATTTTACTTTATTCATATATTTAATCACGCCTTCTAGACTCTCTCTCTCTCTCTCTCTCTCTCTCTCTCTGTGTGTGTGTGTGTGTGTGTGTGTAAAGGAAGTCTCCTAGCTTGGTCTTGAACTACGCTTTTTTTCGCCCAATGAAGTTGAAAGGGTTGGCACATATAATTTATGTACTTGTAGGTGCAATGGTTATCAACCACAAAACTCTGGGTTCAGTTATTAGTCGAGTTCCCGGATGACACGGTAAAGATCATGTGGGCAGTCCACAAACTGTAGGCCAACTACAATTCCGCTTCGTTAAGTCACAAGTAATATGACTTTAAACCTGTCACCTGTACCCACCCTGCGTTTCAGCGGTCACTGAACGACTGGGAACTTGCCTCACCGCTTTTGTTTTGGGAGGCGCATACCGATGATCTAATCGTGAGTTTCCAGTGACCTTTGCAACTCGGGGTGTCTTTTCACGCCATGCAACTCGATCTCTAAGTAAACGCTCAAATGTATAACTTCCGATCCAAATAATGTGGCATTGAATTTGCAGTGTGTGTAAATCAAGAAGCTCCATGCAAATACAGCGCGATTTGCACGGCTGATTGAGCCGATGTCCGTAAGTTGTTTCTGAAATCTTTGTTGACTTGACTGGGAATTGGTTCATTTCGACTCCTGTTCTGTTGTGAGGAAAGGGGCACTGCCTCAAGGGGTCCAGATCTGTCTCTAGCTGCGATCGGCCTAGGGGAATGTGAGACTGGAACTCGGTCTTAAATGTGCTAGAACCACCTGGAACTGTTCCCTCGAAGCCATATATTTTTCTTTTAATAGTTGCAACAGTGATATTATACACTTAAACGTTACTTGTGCATTTTTGATGAAGTCTCAGCAAACGAACCAGAGTCAACGGAGGTTTCGTTGAATCGTGCTATTAAAGGTGCAACAGTTTTTCCCCGTCTGGCATGGTCTTGTAGCAAGTGATGACAGTTTACGTGCCCGTGCGCCCAAGTTTCACTTGGGATGGCTAACACGAAAAAAGCACACTATTCAAGTTAAGATCTTGGGCCTGTTTCGAAAAGGAACTTTAGCCCAAAATTACTCTAAATATTTAGACCATAATTTCAGTCTACTAAGAATTAAGTTAAATATATAGCAGTCCAATCAAATGAAATATAGCTCCCTTATAATAACAAGAATTACATGGCTAATGTTTCAAATTAATGTGTATTTTATTCAAGTGGATTTCTTTGAATTTAACTCCATGTTAAGTAGGCCAAGATTTTTGCTCTAAGAGTTATTTCGTGAAAACTTCAACCCGAACGCTCTTATGTTTTTTTTTTTTTTTTTTTTTTTTTTTGAAAGTCTTGTGTATAAATATTACATGAGATCAAACGTGACCAGTTGATTTAAATATTAGGCCAAGTAAGATATTGTACACGTGCTGGAAAAATTGGAATCGGTAGGTAGTCGTGTGGCATCAGTCGATTTCCATATTTTTATGAGAGTTAAGATGGAACTCTTGACAACATCAAATTCACTGAGTGACTACAGTTGAGGAACCCCGAATATTTGTATTTTTAACTGGGGCATTCATGTGTTCTTAGAATGATTAACGATAACGAAGCATTCAATTATTGATCTTAAAGTTTCTTTTCAACATAAAGTAGTCATGCTCGTTTTCTTGTAAATTGGAGAAATAAAATCCGAATTAAATGATGTTGTTACTTTGATAATCTACCCTTCTTTAAGAAAAGGACAGAAGAAAGGCTTAAGTGCCACTAGCTTTCAAGTGAGAAACCTTGACTTCGGGGCATCTAAACATGAATCTGGCTCTTCTTCAAGACTACCCGCAGCGCCAATGAAGTTTACAGAGAGAAAATCTGCTCAGAAATTTGTTTAAAAAAAAGTAAAGGGCAGGAACACTTGACCCTCTTGATAGCGGGACTCCTTGCCTGCAGCTTACACGCTGACTAATGCACAAGAGAATTTTACAACAGAGTATATATTTTTAATTTTTCTTCACTGCTTTCGAGATAATCTTTTTGTCGTTGCTCTAAAACAAATAGAAATAAGAGCTAATCTTGATTTCTTTCTTACTTCAAATTTTCTCAAATCCAAAAAACAAATGCATTAAAAACATTCCGCATTATCAGCACTGCACTTGTACACAGCAGTTCATTCATCGTAAAAGTAGAGGCGTTTAAACAAATATGCTTTGGTATAGGGTATATTCAGTGTTTTTAGTGCCCCTCCCGGTTTTGCACTGAAGTGAATTAATTGTCTCCCATTGTGCCTAAATTCCGAGCAGGGGTCGAGGACACAGAACAACGACGAAGCATTGTGTCCTTCCAGTAAAAATAAAGCCTGGAAAAGCCTGGATTCGGAGGGTTAGGAAAAATCTACCCAGTTGCACTCAGGGAGAACAAGCAAAGAAGTTTTCAGCTTAAGAAGAGAAAATATTTACACCACACAAACACGAGTAGAATTCACTGTTGAAAGTTGGCCATGCGTCGGTCGCAGTGTATACAATGACGGTTGGGTGTCACTGACTGCAGCTGCAATTGCGACATTGTCCAAAGCGTAGACGCCGAGGTTGTGTCGTATTAAAACAGAAACTACAGAGACAGGTAGACCTACTTGAGAGAGAGACACTGCGGGGAGATCGGCCACATCGTGATTGGGATTGATCTGTCACTTGGAACTGTTTAAACGTTTGTCTTTATCATCAAACGTGTTTGCCTGGACCATTGCAAAGTGTGAAAATTCATTTCTCGATCACGTTTCCTGCGCCAAACTTTGAAGTCACTTAAAGAAATCCCATACGTAATTTGGGAGCAACGGTGCCACTGGGATCAAACCACGGCGGTGTCGATGTTCTCATTGTTTAATGACAGCTTCAGTGATTAAGTGACAATATACACCCGGTTTAAGTTGCGACGTTCATGGACGACTGATCATATTCACACCTGCTAGTACAGTTAAAATAACACAAGCGCAGCGTTTCACCTTGTCGGACGCCAGAGAAAGAGAGAGAGAAGGAAATTGAGAGAAGGAGAGAGGTATCAAGTCATCATGTAAGTACTTGCAGCTTATCTCGTAAGAAACCCCTTATTGATTCACTCTCTAGTTTACGGCATCAACATATGAATCGCGCCCCCACCTCGTCGCAATTTGTTAGGCGGTTAAAAAGCCGTAAAACTTTCTCGGTGAAACAGTATGACAGGTAGTGCGCTTGGTTCCGCTTTGTGTGGATTCCCAGGCTCGAGTTGTACGTCTTTCAGTGAGACACAAGATGCATGATTCAGAATAAGGAGCCAATATACACCTTGTATACTGTGTCCTAGTTCAGAATGATCTGTAGGCATTATATGAAAGCAAGTTTTGTGATATCATACCGTATCGCACTGATACAGGGTTTACAGGTTACTTCGAAGGCTGACACAGGTAGCATATGAGGGACGTTTGTGAGGATCATTATTTGTCCATTCCCGATACCCCCCTCCCTCATGTCCCGCCAGTGTAGCTATTTCGCTNTTTGTGTGGATTCCCAGGCTCGAGTTGTACGTCTTTCAGTGAGACACAAGATGCATGATTCAGAATAAGGAGCCAATATACACCTTGTATACTGTGTCCTAGTTCAGAATGATCTGTAGGCATTATATGAAAGCAAGTTTTGTGATATCATACCGTATCGCACTGATACAGGGTTTACAGGTTACTTCGAAGGCTGACACAGGTAGCATATGAGGGACGTTTGTGAGGATCATTATTTGTCCATTCCCGATACCCCCCTCCCTCATGTCCCGCCAGTGTAGCTATTTCGCTGATCACAATGACGTCCTCATTAACTGCAGGTCCGTGGCCATCAATTTCAAAGGGGGGGGGGGGGTATTTTTCTGACAAAGTGGACCTTTTCCGTGAAACCATCGTGCACTTAGCTCAAAATTTTACTTAGAGCGGGTCGTTTCCCGTCAAATAGTTCGGTTCGTTCAATTCCCCGAACCTCCCTGGCTACCGACCTGAACTGTAAGAAGTTGCTACACAGATGATTACATGCTTTTGTACTACACCTTAAATATTTGCAAGGAATCTAAGACCCCATTCCCATAGATATTTAGATCGATCTATCCCCCAGGCGAGTCTCACTAGATTGGTCTCAGCTTAACAGGCTTAAATGTCTGTCCCGCCTACTAAAAGCTGTAAGGGGGTAATTAACTATGGTGCGCGCTCGACTGACAGCAATTTGTCCGGATGGATCGATCTAAATCTCTGGATGGATCGATTTAAATCTCTGGGAATGCAGTCTAAGAAGTGAAATCGAGATCGGCATGGCATTATGCAGTCCGCAGTCGACTTTGGTTTACTTAATTGCAGTGTTATATATAGGCCTATATTTCAATGTGACAATGCATTTTTAAGTTGGAGTCAATTTTATTTTTACTACGCTAAGTTTTTGACAGTTTTGTCTGTGAGCACTGCTGTGGGTTTGTGCATTCTATCACGGACAAGTCATCGAGCTGGCAGCATGAAATGTGCCTGATCTATTCAATCAATTGTTTACGCATGCACCGTACACACCGTGTACTCAGCATGATTTTATTGCCTTTATCAACAAGTGTATATATGCTCATACGGCATAA